CATAACTGAAACTGCGATATGATGCACTTCAGTGCAATCATAACCCGAGCACCAACAGTGCTAAACATTAGTACACGAATGTACCAAAGCTGAACTGATAATTGATAAACACTCACTTAATGGCCTGCCAAATGTACCTATGACTCTTAATGCAACATGCAATGGGCTTATATTTATCATCATAGAATCATTTATTAATCTACGTCTGATAATTGTAAAATATCTTATAACTGGAAATTATCTGATAACTGAAAATATATGATAACTGTAAACATTTAGAATTTATCATCATAAATATCATACTTGGGCAGTTCATACCCAAAATCATTCATTAAACTTGATGAAAAATATTATAGAAATGTTTCATACTGAAAATTTATAAATCATACTGGAAAATAAAATGAAGTTGACTTATCGCAAGTCGTCCTCGATCAGATTAATTAATTAAATAAACTATACTCATTTAAACAATTTACTTATAAATCAAATATAAGGCTCATTAAGCTTTAAAATTGCTTCCACTACACAATTTATTGAAATTTCATATTCTTGCAGATTGCACTACCTTCAAATAAATATTATTTTGTATTAATTTATATATTGAAAAATTATTCCATTTGCACCAAAGAAAACTAGACTCGAATACAAATGTAACCATATAAGTAACTCCATCTAGTTCCACTTGTACAATTTATAGTGGATTTTCAAAATTTACTAACATAAGCTGTTTTTTGACAAAATTTGATGTCATGTTTTTTACCTATCACTAATTAAAAATTCACATCTTTTTCTATACTTCTCTAAATCAGTTGTCGTTTGTTCTAAACGAAATTGTACTGATAGACAAATCCAAAGGTATAAGATTCATCCTCCAAATATTTTTTTAGAATTTATGATGATTTTCTAAACTTATTGTTCAAAACATTATTTCTAGGCAGATTTTACCAACTAGTGTCATTGACTTGTTCACTAGTTCTATTAGCTTACTAAATAAACATATAAACTTGAATCACACTTCACATAACATTAGGAGTCACTTCTTAATGTAACTCTGACACTGGCTCATCGCAATCCAATGTTTGGTCGATACATATATACAAATGAGATGCACTCACCCTTGTCTCGCTATCATATCTTCTCCATGATAATCTTCTCGATCCCACATTTTTTCCTTCCCTTTCAAACTACTTAAATTACTAAATTTACCGTTGACTTGATAGCCATGTAAGTTTCGACCAAGAGAAAATAACAAGCTGAAAATGTCGATTTATCTATATTATTCAAGTATTTAATAACTTGTACATTTGGCATTTTGATAATATAATTGAATTTAATATTCAATTTAATGAAAATTTCCAAAAATACCATTAATGAGACTTGAAAATTACCAAATGCCATTGCATTTCCCTCCAATAAAATATTCCTTAGTCAAACATGAATCAACTTGACTTTGACTTTTCAATTTGATAATGCAATTTTTGAAAATTGCATTTTAGTCACTAATTTTCCACAGTTCAACCAAATCTGAAAAATTACACTGTTTGAAGCCAGATTTTATTAATATAAAATATGGAAATAATAATTCCAACCATTTTCTAACATCCTTAAAATTTTCATAAAATTCCGGTTCGATCCGACTATCCGATTTCAATACCGAACTTTATCGCTTTATAGCTTTTAACATAAATCTCGTACTGAAAATATGATTCTCACGAAAATCCTTGTTTTAGGCCAAACTATTCATTTACGGGCTAAAATATATAAATTTTTAAAAGTATATTTTTCATCCCTAAAGTTTACAAAGTTTATACTTATCCCTCAAACTTTCAAAACTTACATTTTAGTCACTATTCAAAAATTTGGGGTATTACATAAACTAACTGAACACACATTTGTTCATGTGCGTTCGTTTATTAATGAACATAAAGAAATATTCATACTCATTTATTTAGCTTAATAAACGAACATAAACTAATGTTATAAGAACAATTCAACTGTTCATGAACAATTCCTCAACTGCTTTGTTCAATTTACACCCCAACTGAATCTTACACTCTAAATATTTTCCTAACTCATACTTCTTTCATGCATGGATCGACTTCCATTTATAATATCCAGATTCAATTATGTGATTTTATTTAAAAGATTGAATGCATTATTCAATTAGACTAAGTAGTTATCGGTTGATTTAAACCTCTGTTCATTTACACCCCTACATGAATCTTACACTCTAATTATTTTCCTAACCCATACTTCTTTCATGCGTAGATTGACTTTCGTTTTCAATATCAGGATCAATTCTTTGACTATGTTTAAAAGATTTAATGTCGTATTCCGTTTTAAATTATTATCCTTTGAATTTGCATGCCCATGATGTTCTTTGCTGGTGGGTTAGCAAATTATGGAATTATTTGGTAAAAAGCGAATACAAGTTCAGATATGGAACTATATTGCAGAAATCATGAATGATTAAATTAGCGGGAGTTCTATGGGATTAAATTGTGGGTTCTTAAAATGACGGTCCTGATAGGTTGATAATTTAGAATATAAATTTAGCTGTTTAATATATTTTTAAAAATTTAGCAATTATAAGTGGAAACTATGGTAGAACATAGAAGAACCAATCATTCCACTTATTTTAATAAAAAAGTAATAATATCCGACTGCCAGGCCCTTCCCCTCTGCTGACGTAGTTTCTTCTTCCTTTTTCCTTTGAAAAAGGCAGCCAACCCAAAGATGAACAATGGAGCAATTAACACTTGCTTCGATGAATACAGTTGTTTTTGTGTCCTCATTCGTTAAAGCTCGCTGCATTATAGGGACCTTTTTACAAAGTTGGAAACCTCAAAAGAATAGAATCCAAATTTATTTATGGATTCCGACGCAAGTAATTTTGCTCTTCCTTAAAGTCTATTAAATTAGTAAAGCATCTAAAAACATAAATGAACTGTGATTAAATATATAAACTTTGATTAAATCATGTAGTTTGCTATACAAATTTTGATTTAATATATAACTTTTGATTTAATATAATTATATATGATCTTGATTTGATGTAATTTTTATAAATAAATAATATCATTATCAACATGACACTATAAAATGTGTATTTAAAATCATTTTTTAATATATAGAATTAAATCAAAAATAAAATTTGATGTATACTATCACATAAATTTATATTTCATGTATCATATTTACCTTAAATTAAAATTAATATATAATTCTATTAAAAAATTAATATATAATTATAAGATATAACCATTCGAAAATCAAGTGAATCTGAATTTAAAATCAATAATTTATTTTTCTGAAAATACTACTTAATCCAAAAACAAAAGTATGCAAGAACAATTAAATGAAGTATAATCTGAATTACTATGACCTTACAAATCTGTCATACGAAGGATAAGATTGAGACACAGAGAACTTGAGTGTATTTGACTCTTAGTATTGTTAGATTTCTTGGTTTATCGGTTGTCTTTTCTTGGAAATATAAATCTTAGCTCCGAAAGTGTGAGATTAGTCCCTCTTTATTCTAGGGAATGTCATAAGTAACTTACTATTTAACATAGCAAGAAATCTAATTAAATTATGTTTTCTACTGTCAATCAATTTACAATAGAATAAATTTATTACTTTTAATTAAATTATATTCATTATAAAAGACTCACTGTTTTCAATTAAATTAAATATTTTACTTTTTTTTTCTAATTTTTTTTAAGTTTTGTATGTCTACCGTTTGAATTTTATTAAATTCAAATCGAACTCTAATCATAGTAAAACTTTAAAAACTTTGATTAATCGCTAGAAGTTTTGTGTACTGTAAAAATTATGATATTATAGGTGTCAAAATTTCTAACGCTTCACTATAGTTTTTAACTGATGTTATAGAAATTTTACCGTATCGATTAAAAGTTTTGTTTAATGAAATATCGTTTAGAAGATGCATATAAAATTTATACAATATATTTTTTAAAAAATTATAAATACAATTATAATCATATTTACGAATAATCCATAAATATTAAAAAATTATTATCAGATTAAAATATTAAAAATATAATAAGACGAATAACTAAAATATATAGTAATATAATCCTTACACAATAAAAATTTAACTCAAAATTTAGTAATAATATTTAAACCTAAATCCTAATGAAACCGTAGCACACAAGAATTGAGTTTCATCGATAACAGTTCATTTTTAACAATTATGCACAGCCGTGAAAGCTTCCGCAATCCGAAGCCTTGAGGGTTTGGTTCCAACCTTTGTGAGTTTGCACACTCACTTAGTTTGGGTAAGGCTTACTTAGTCGCCGGGAAGACCGAGGAGCGTCTAAAGCGTCTAAGGCCACATGACCCGTCAGACCTTGACTCTGATATTCCGACGGTGAGAGGCGTCGAAGTTCTGGGGGCGTGACAAGTGGTATCAGAGCGAGTCGTTGTGGGCAAGCAACGATCGTTTCGACCAAGTTTGGTGGAAGGTGCGAATCGGGTAAGTTCTGTTTACTTACTCTTTGTTCAATTTAATTTGATAATTGATATGGGGCACAAGAAAAGAGGAGTTTCCGCACGCAAAGGCAAGGAGTGCCATGGTGGGAAACGGGAAGAGAGTCCGTTGGGCTCAAGAGCATCGTCGGTGTCCAAGCATGAGGATGCCGTGACGAGTTCACAAAGAATGCTGGAGGCAACTATAGCACACCAAAGGGAGCCGGTTCTCGAGGTAGAGAAGCTCAAGACATTTCATAATTAGGAGGTCTTCTACGGAAACTACTCTTAACCTGGTGTTGGAGGCAAACTACTATCTTACCTCCTCTTATCCCATCTATATCGAAAAAAAGGGACAACCACGTGGGTGTATAAAAAAAATGAAGTTTATATATATATATATATATATATATATATATATATATATATATATATATATATATATATAATTATAAATGAAAGCGTCAATTAAGACCATTCATCCCTTTGGGTAAATATGAGATGCCATATAGTCTGTGAACCCCTCACTCTCCCTTAAGCAAAGCGACAATGGTGACTTCTTCTCTGCTTTCGCTCTCCTTTTTTCTCATCTCTTTCTCCTTTCTCCCCGTCCAAACAATACTCTCTTCTTCGACAGATGCCTTCGTCTTCGGGGGCTGCACCCAACAAAAATACACACCCGACTCACCCTACGAATCCAACCTCAATTCGCTGCTCACATCCCTGGTTAACTCAGCCACTTACTCCTCCTACAACAACTTCACCATCATGGCCTCAAGTCCCCAAGATGTCGTCTACGGCCTTTACCAGTGCCGCGGGGATCTTTCGATGCCGGACTGCGCCACCTGCGTCGCCCGCGCAGTGAGTCAAACCGGGTCCTTATGCCCCAGCGCGTGCGGTGGCGCGGTACAGCTTGAAGGCTGCTACGTCAAGTACGACAACGCCACGTTCCTGGGAGTTGAGGATAAGAATGTGGTGACGAAGAAGTGTGGGCCGTCTGTGGAGTATGAGAAGGAGTCGGATATTGTGGGGCGGAGAGATGCGATGATGGCGGGGTTGATGGGCGGAGGAGGGTTGTTCAGAGTGGGTGGGTCGGGGGAAGTTCAGGGTTTGGCCCAATGTGTGGGGGATCTCAGCTTAGCTGAATGCCAGGATTGTTTGTCGGCCGCCATCCAACGGCTGAAAACCGAATGCGGCGCTGGTACTTATGGTGATATGTATTTAGGCAAGTGTTATGCTAGATTCTCCACTTCTGGCTCTCGAGATAATGATCACTATTATCCCAAATCCCATAACGGTAAAATCTCTCATACACACCCTTCTTCTTTTTTTAAGTTAGGTTAGAGTTTCGATTAAGTTTTATTTCCAATTACATAATTGTATTATTTAAAAAAATAAGAGCAAGGCAGTAAAAAAATGATGATTTTGTTATGATTCAATGAAAAATGTAGATAAATCTAACATGGACGGTGAGAAGACATTTGCAATTATCATTGGATTATTGGCTGGGATCGCTCTGCTCATCATTTTCCTTGCTTTCCTAAGAACAGTGGTGGACCGAAATGGTAAATTACTTAAACTTTGTTAATTTTAACTAAAGTTGATTACATGCATCTTCTAATATTAATATATATTAGAACAAAGAGAAAAGGTGAAATTCTATCTTTGATTCAGAAATATACTGACACGATTCTTTGGATTTTAATTGATGAATGCAGGTAAATAAGATTCCAACTTCTTTTCCAGAATTGATTTGCTTTTATTCTTTTTTTTTTTTTTGCTTTAGTTTTTCATTCATGATGTCCAACTTTTCCCCCCAAAAAAAGAGAGCATGCACAATGCAAAGTTATAAAGGGAAAAAGAGCTAAGATTCCACTTCACAAACTTGGCTTTTTCTTGTATCGTCTAAATGTCAACAAAGCATGTTGTTGTTGATGTAAATGGTGTTTCTTTTGTAATTTTAGTTGTGTATGTATTCATCTTTTTCATTGCTTTGCCCCAAGTTTTCTCCCTTTTCTATTGATAATAAAATTTCAGCCCCCAAGAGGGGGTTACAAAATTAGAAAATACTGAATCAAAGGCAATCGTTCAAAATAAAACTTAACACTGGTGAAATTAAAGCATAAATTTTATGTTAAATAAACGAATTTATACAATTTTAAAATACATAAATTATAAAAAAATTTCAAAATTTCAACCCTGTTAATCTTAGACTCGCCTAATAATACGAACAAACGAGAAATTATTAGATAGATCTGTCTCATCCCGTCTTCCGTAGTTTCAGCTAATAAGATTCATCCATTTCAAACTAACTTCCAAGAAACTAATCACTCGTTAACATATGAGAAAGAAGTGAAAATTCACCTCAAGAAAAGAAAGATAAATTCCATTGATTGAGACTATAAATGATGTAATAAACCAAATCCATCTTATAATTTTGTCTTAAGGGTCACCTTTGCTCTTTTAGTTGACCCAAATTATCATTTTCGTCAATATCGTATTTTCGTATCAATTTAACCCTCAAAATTGTTTAATTGCATCATTCTATATTCTACCCTTAACTTAAAACCTAAAATTATAAATCTCAAATTAGCATTTGGGGTTTAGGGTTTAAATGTTATGGGATTATGGTTTAGGGTATAAATTTATAATTTAGAATTTTAAGTTAATGGTATAGTATAGAATGATGTAATTGAATAATTTTTTACTACAGGGTAAAATTTACCCTTTTTCCTATAAATTTTCTATTACAAGACACAATTATTAACAAAATGCATAACTTTCGATTCTAGTCAACTGCATGATCGCCCCAGAACGACACCAACTGAAGGCTACCTTCTGGAGCTTCTGGTCCAACCGTCCCAGCTACGACAACCCAAGAGCTAATCACAGGGACAAGCCTGTGACACCCAGGCTTCAATGAAATCAATGCCAGTAGCTTTAAAAAATAGAACCACCACTACAATACTTCCAGTTTAATACAGCAATATAAATCAAACTACCAACAATCAGAAGCTCCAAGCAAGGCAAGCAACCACCCACTGAATAGAGCAGGATCAGATCTCCTTGTAGAAAATAGCATTACAACTCATCTCAGAGGGCTAACACCAATCTCGAAATAAACACAAACCATTCCAGAGGTAAAAAACACCAACTTTTGATGACATACCACTTACCTCTCAACCACGAATCTACAAGCGAAAGAATTTGGACATCTAATAAAATCCTGAACTCTTGAAACCAGACAAGGTCATTTGCTGTTGCACCAAATACCGATTCAGAGAAGGGCTACCTCAAGGATTTGGGCATTATTTAGGATCTTGTTTTTGAACATCACCTCATTTCTACATAGCCATGTTGACCAAATTAGCCCAAAAGTGCCATTCTCCAGATTGGCTTGCACTTTGATTGAATAGGTTGATGATCCCAGCAAAATATAAATGATCTACAATTCCCTGGGACAATCATTTTTGTATTCCAATAGCTACACCACCTTTGCCACACACTCCAAATAACCTTACAGTGTCAGAATAGATGGACTACTGATTCTGTGTCCGATTTGCAGAAAATACATACAACCTCCCCAAAGTTCACAACACTGCGCTTGGCGAGTTCCCCTAAAGTTGAGATTTTGTGATGAACAAGTTTTCAGACAAACGTTTCAACCTTTGGGGGGTGAAGTTCGCCAACACCAATTTCCAAATAGGATACTTCTCGATTAAAGACTTCGAGACAACCCACCAAAAATTGCGAGGTGAAAACTCACCATTCGGGCAGCCATTCCATTCCCACAATCCATTTGACATAACGCCAAACTCGCATATTTTCCCATCTTCAAGGCGCGGAAAATATCCTCGGAAAGGATCCTTTAAGCGATAGAACTTTGGTCATTCCAAAATTCAATCGAACTCCCATTGCCTACGACACACTTGATATTTTTTCAGAACGGATCATCCGACTTGGTTAAAGGTAAACCCAGGAAGATTTTTTTTAGTTCAAATGGGCGGGACGGTAAACATCTATTGTCATACCCATACTTTGCATCAACTACTTTCTTCCACATAGAGTCAGATTCGACACTATACCTCAATAACCATTTATTTAGGAGTGCATGGTTTTGAAGGCGCATATCATAGAAACTCAGACACTCCAATTCTCTTGGTCTGCAAACATTGTCCCATTTCACCCAATACATCGCCTATTCGAATCCGATCTCCATAAGAACTTTGCAACCAATTTGTTTAGCTCCGATGCTATCGAAGTGGGCATTAAAAAAAATAGGAAGTACACTGGGAGAGCGGAAAGGATCAACTTTATCAAGGTTATCCGTCCTCCAAAGGAAAGGTATTTACCTTTCCATCCTCCTATCCTTAGGCTAACCTTTTCAATGTTAGACTTCCAAATATATTGAGAGTTACTCACTCTTCCTGATAGAAGCTCAAAATATATAGAAGGCAGATTTCCCCAACCACAATCGAAGTGGGCGGCCCACTCTTGAATGTGTCTATCTTCGACATTGATCCCGAAAAGGGAAGATTTCTTCATGTTGAGCTTCAGGCCAGAAACGACTTCAAACAGTCTATAAGAACTTTCTTTATGTCTAGAACCGACTCAGCACTCGCTTCAGAGAATACAATTAAATCGTCTGCATATTGGATATGAGAAATGAGGAAACTACCCGCTCAAACCGGGATACCTTTACACAACCCAACTTCCACAGCTTTGTTCAACATGGGACTTAGCGCTTCTCCTACAATATTAAAGTGAAAAGGGGATAATGGACAGCCTTGCCTAAGGCCTGTCCAAATTTTGAAACTAACGGACACCCATTCACCAGAACTGCAATGGACGGAGAGAAGATACACATATAAATCCAGCGGTGCCACAGTTTCCCAAAGCCCATTTTCTATAGAACAAAATCCAGAAAGGCCCAATCGACAGAGGCGTAGGCCTTTTGAAAGTCAGCTTTGAAGATAACTGCTCCCCTCTTCCTTCTAACCAAATCATCGATGGTTTCATCTGCAATGAGAGAGCAATCCGCAACTTGTTTGCCTGCGATGAACACAAACTAATTTTGACTGACGATTTCATTTATGCACATTGCTAATCTTCTAGAGAGAATGCGGGATAGAATCTTGTACATACTGCCCACCGAATATATTGACCTGAAGTCATCAATTCGGACAACATCTGATTTCTTTGGTGTAAGAATGATAAAAGATTTATTTATGTCGGCCTCATTTAGAACCCCTCTATGGAAGTCGACAAAGGACATAACTCCGCCTTTGAAGAGGACCAGAACTTCTAAAATTTTAATTATTAAACCTTACAGAAGAATACACGAGAGTTTGGAAAATACTGAACAATTATTGATCAAGACATGACTTTCTTATAATTTATTGAATAAGGCTGAAAAAAACTTACCTCAACCAGGAAAAACAAAAATCGACTTGAGCCTAAAAAGGGTAAGTCCCAGCGGCATCGGGGTTAGTCAACTAAGCAAGCTATTCGTTTATAAGAAAAAAATATTTTAGATTTTTAATTATTAAACCTTATTCATGGTAAAAAATAATTGGCCGTCGTTTATATTTTAACTAAGAGGGGTTATTTGAGTAATTATTAAAAATAAAAATATATATACGAGAGTTTTCCTGGTTGAGGTACGTTTTTTTAGTCTTATTCAATAATATATATACGAGCGCTTTTTAGCATTATTTGAGTAATTATTAAAAATAAAAAATACTTTGATTATTAAACCTTCTAAAATTTATAAATATGTAAAAGAATTACAAAAATCTAAAATAATAATCGGCTTCGTTTAACAAATTTATTATTTCTTCGGTAATTGTTTTAATTCAATAAAAATTAAAAATTCGATGGTAAAAAATAATAAAAAAGTGAAAGGATAAAATGAAAATAGAATTAGAACTCCGAACAAACCATAAGTAATAAAGCATGTGGCTTCTTACCACACACAACTCCAAAATCCACAGGGTTTATTTTTCTGATCAATGTTCCCATTTCTAGCCTTCCTTAATCTCATCACCTCTCTTTGTTTTTCATCTATTTTTGTCTCCAATAATATGTACATGGTTTTGATCATATATAATCCAATCATCAAAATAATATAATTATCTTGTTTTATTAAAATTTTAAACTTTATAGTTGTAATGTATTAATTCTCCAAAACTCAATGAGCAAAATTCAGAAACGGATCTATTTGTTTTTCGGTTAATAATAGATTCTTGAGTTCTATATTTTGGTCTCATATTTATTTATATTTTACTTCTATATTATTTATTTATATTTTCAATATCATATTTTTATTAAATAATCATATAGCAAATTATCAAAATCTCACCGTTTTTCTCCTTTTATTTTTTAGCGTAAATATTCAATCCTTCAAATATTTAATATATTAGCATCAAAAGGCCTTATTTTGAAAATCAGAAGTAAATGAAATTTGGAGGTTACCCGTTAAACCCGACTAAGAAGTGTAATTCCCACAATTCCGCAATAAATTATACAATTATATCCCCCCAAAAGAAGTTTACAAATAATAAAGAAGACAAATCCCGTTGCTTCTTTTCTTCATCTTCTTCCTCGAATACTTAATGCTGCTCAGCAACTTGAACATCAATCTTTACATTCCTTAACCCTGGCTCTTATTTTTTACTGAAATCAAATCAAACCAGATTCATAAAATTCACAAGTTCCCATTATTAGAAAAAAAAACCAAAAGCATAAAC